GGATTTGAACCAGGGACCTCTTGATCTGCAGTCAAATGCTCTACCACTGAGCTATACCCCCACTTACATATAATATTTCATTAGCACTGTTTTACCCACGGCGCTGCATGTAGGATAGATGCCTGTCTACATGTCACTGTTGTTTCTGCATGTCCCAGAACATGGCAACTCTTCTCACTGTAGTTCACTGTCTTGTCTTCAGCCCTCCTCTTCCTCAGGTCATGATAACGGCACCAGCCTTTACACCTGGGAAGGCCATTAGAGTCTACACTAGTGTTTCTACCTAAACCAGCACATACTTATCAGAACAATCATGGTCAGGTCCAGGTCCTCAGTGAACCTCACACTCAGTGCAGGGAGAGCCTTGTCCCTATTCTAAGGTCTCAAGAAGGGTGCTCCTTGTTCCACTCATTCAGTCAGTCAGTCACTCAACAAACACAGAGCATGTGAGGTACCAGGACCTGTCATCCATGTTGAGGACACAGAGACTTAAACATTGTCCTTGTTCCAATAGGAGACAAAATCATGAAGCAAAGACTTCGCACAAGGGTGGCAGAAGCCCAAGAAGAGGGCCCTGGGAGCAGGGAGTGAGGAGCTGCCCTGCCTGGGGAGTCAGAAAGGGCTTCCTGGGGAAGATGGACAAGGAGGACTTTGCCAGAAGAAGCTGGAGAGGATTTCAGGCCAAGGGAGGAAGAACAAAGGGAAGAGTGGGTCAGGCATGTCCGGAGCTCAGGGAGGCTTCAGGTGATGGCACACATGTGGGCTCATGGAGCCTGGAAACATTTTGGCTTCCTGCAAAGGCAGGAGTGGGACTCGGCCATTGTCACTGGAAGCAGGCCTATGACACACTGCATGACAAGCCAAGACCTCATTGAATCCTCACAACCACCCTTGTGTTGTCTAATTGCAGCACAGTTTGGCCAGAACAGAACCCAGGCCCAGGGAGCACCAGAGCACAATACTGGCCCTAGAACACAGCACAGTCAATATGGGAGTGAGGAGCCATCGGGGGCCAATGGGCACTATGGGTGACAAGAGCTATCATTTGGCTCTTTATTTAGCACTTCACACTAAAAGTGAGTTGAGGAAGGGGGCACCCGGATTTGAACCGGGGACCTCTTGATCTGCAGTCAAATGCTCTACCCCTGAGCTATACCCCCATGCCTGCTTATGAACCTTAATTACACCTCTTCAACTGTGCACCTGACTCCTAGTTCTGGAATCCTACAGCCCCGCCTCTGGGAGCAGGCAGCCTGCCCTATGACATCCTGTCTCCCACTGTCATCACTCACTGACTCCTGCACCTATAAACACCTGTTGACCACCTTCTAGGTGCCAGGCTCATCCTTCCTGCTTCCATTTTCTTCCTTTCTGGCCCCACTTCCCTCTGCCACCTGGTTCTGTCTGCCCTACAGTGGGCAGTCATTGCTTTCCCAGCCTAAGAGAGTCCTGGTCCCCTCTGCCCTCTCCGAATAGGGCACTGGGGCAGTCAAGTCTACATGGATAGAGGAGCAGGACTGGCCAGGACACCACACCCTGAGACAGAAGGCCCCTTTCTCCCTTTCCACCATCTGCTTCACCCACTCAACCCCTTTCATCCACTCTCGTTGATCAACGTGGTGGAGGAAAAGGTGAACCAGCCCAACTCCCTCTCAAGGAGAAAACTGATTTGAGGAGGGGGTGGAACCCTGGTAACTTACTTGTGAGCCCCTAGGGCTTGAAGGAGACTGCACAGCAGAGGCAGGCAGCTGTGTGAGAGCAGGGAGAATGGGGAAGCAGCCAGCAAGGAGGCTGTCCTCTCATTTGAAAGGCTCATAAGAGTGTGAGACACAGCCAGAGAGAGCGCGACCCTCTCACCCTGCGCACAGATGGAAAAGCCAAGAAATCTTCTGAGAGCTCTCAAGCCTTCCCAGTGCCACCCACTCCATCTCCCCGCCACATGGAAACAGTCCGCTGGGTGTCTCTGTTGCTCACAGGGCTTTGGGGACGTAGCTCTTTTGTTCAGAAATACTGAGGAGGGTCCAGGACCCCATGGGCTGGTTTACTCAGCCTGGAGATGATTTCAAGCTTCCTGTGCTCCCCTAAGCCTTGGTCCTACAACATGAACTGCCATCAGAATCCCCAGAGGAACCTGTTAAAACTGCAAGCCCAGTCCTAGTGAAGGAGACCCATCTACACCTTTCCTAGAATTCCTGCAGGAGGAGCCACTGGGAAGCATCCAGTCAATTAAGCAGCCTTGCCCCAAACTGTCTGGTCCACTGTTTGCAGCAGAGGGAGCATAAGCAGCCCTCAGAGCAAGGCCTGACCTGGCTGAGGGAGGAGCAGAGCTCTCCCCTGATGCATCTGGAAAGCTTACAGAGAGGGTGGGACGCAAGAAAGTCACTGCTCGGTTCTTCTTTGAAAGCTGCTGAGACCACACGTCCAACCCAATTCCCACGAGGACCTCATGCCCCAAACCCCCGGTGTTCATTTGAAACCCATGCAGAGTAACCCCCGGCTCCATGGCCGAGCTGAACTGGGGTTGGAGGGACCTCTGACGTAGGGGTACCTCGGCTAGGCCCTGCCTTCTGCATACCTCCCTGTCCTGCCACCCCTGCTTAGAGGCCCAGCCTAGTGGCCAAAGGCTCCTTAACCCCAGGGAAGCAGTAACCGCACTCACAGAGACAGAACTGCCTGCAGGCTCTGGTGCCACGTGAAGGGCAAGACAGCGAGGAGCAGAGGCAATTCATAGTTCGTCTCCATGAGACCTTGGGCAAGTCATTTAACCCCCCTGCCTTTCAATCCATAACATCTGAAAATGGGAATTAAGGGCACTTCTCCTTCCTGAAGACAGAGGGCTGATAAATGATCTCAAAGTGCTGCCAGCACTCAGATCCACAAGGCTCATTGGATTCAATAAAGGAAGAAAACCAAGGATTTAGGGCCAGTCTCTTACCCTGGGACAGGGATGGCTCATGGTTCCCCTTCATTGACAAGCTGGCAGAGTTCTTCCTGCCAGTCTCCAGGTCCTGAGACTCATGGCCATATATCTTCAGCAGTCACAGACACCTGACCGTGCCCACACCAACATGAGTTACAGCCATTTCAGGAAATAGCTCAAATCAGTTTCAGTCTCTACTCCCCATTCCCAAATAAGAGGGCATTGCTGGTCAAAAGCAAAGCATTTCCACTATGTTTGCTTCAGATAAAAGGCAGGGACCAGTAGCTAAAAGGTGCAAGGTCAGGGCTGTTGGGTTCTTGTCCCCTCTCCTGGTACAGACACATCTTCTGTGATTTTCCTTACCTAAGCCAGTGCTCATCCTCAGAGGTCATTCTGGAGTAATAGATACAATCATATCCATTCCACCTGCCACAAATCTTTCTGCTGTGTCCCACTTTTCTTCTGACATTAAAAAAAAATATTTTTATTGATTTTATTGAGGGAGAGATATAAACATTAATGATGAGCGAATCATTAATTGGCTACCTCCTGCACATTTCACACTGGGGTTTGAGCATCCAACCGGGGCATGTGCCCAGACCAGGAATTGAACTGTGACCTGGTTCATAGGTCGATGTTCAACCATTGAGTCACACTGGCTGGGCATCTTCTGAAATTTTTTAAAAAAATGCTTTTATTGATAGAATCATTAATGAGAGAGAAACATCAACCGAATGCCTCCTGCACACCCCCGACTAGGGATCAAGCTCGCAATATGGGGATGTGCCCAGACCGGGAATTGAACCAGCAACCTCTTGGTGCATGGGTTCATGCTCAACCACTGAACCACACAAGCTGGGCTCTTCTGACATTTTTTAAGCCCTTTAAAGTCAACTGGTTACTGAAATTAGGAGCCAAGAGGTCAGGCTTTGCAGCTACAGGCCTTCCCTCCACTGAGTATAAGGCGCTTGTTGAATCCAAGCAGGATTCTTCACCTCCACCTGGTTCCTGTTCCTGGGGGGCCTCCCTCTTGCTGCCAGGGACGGGGGCAGCCACAGAACCCAGAAGTTCCTGTTCCTCATCAGGTTCTCCATGTTCTCCAGCCGCCTCTGCAATAGCTTCCCTAGCACAGCCCATTTGCCATGCAGTTGGTTCCTGAACTTAAAGGTCATTTATTTAAATTGAATTTATTGTGGTGACATTGGTTAATAAAATCATATAGGCTTCAGGTGTACAATTCTATACAAGGTTGTTTTCTTAAAGTCGGCCAGCTTCTCTTTTCTTCAGCTGTCCTTGTCCATCCATCCTTCCAAGCTCTTTAGTCAGAGTGCTTGGGACTTCATCTTCTTTCCATGGGCTGAATGGCAGCCAAGATGGCCAGAAGGGAGGTCTCTGCAGATTGGAATTGAGCCTCCCCATATGCCATTCCTGTATTAGACATAAGGAGGTGAGTCAGCCACCAGGAGAGGGGTCCAGAGCCATTTCCAGCTACAGGTAGGTCAGGATGTTCTGGAATAGGGGGAAACTTCTTCCAGGCACCCAAAGGCCTCATTGGTCAGACCCCCAAACAGAGCCCACCTGGAAGACTGTCAAAGACAGCAGACACTGGACTCCACAGGGCCCCCATGGGAAGAATCTTGAACGAAGACCCAGGGGCAATATAAGATGAACTAACAAAGCATTACCATAATAAATGAAGAGTGTAAAGGATTTGAATCCCAGCTATACCACACACAGTGATATGAGCTTAGTCAATTACTTAACCAACCACTTCACCCAGGGACACAGCCCAGCAGGAGAAAGGAAGTGAGTGAGAAACCCGAGTCCTGAAAACTTCCCAGGGCACTGATACATACCAAGTGCTAGTTCAGCCTGTGAGTGTTCTAGAGCACCCTCCTCCCCGCCCCCGCAGACAGACACACACACACACACACACACACACACACAGCGCGCTGTGGGAAACCTGGCAGGTGTGAGCAGCAGCAGAGTCCCTGTGCTAGTGCGGAGCAGCCCACCCAGAAACCGCCCTGTACCGCAGCTGTCTGTACCAGAGAGCAGGAACCAGGTCATGTACACGCACTCAATTAGTCCAATATATTTATTGACTCTAGACTGAGGCAAGGAACTGCCACCATCAGTTCTTCAGGGCCTTTAACACCAGCACCCCACCTTTCTTTGTTTTACAAATGAGGAAGCCAAGACCCAGAGCGGGGAGTGAGCATAAGGCCATACCAGGCTCCAGCCTCTGGAGTCCCTGAGGTCCAATCTGCTCCTGCAACACACAGGCTCCCTTGACTCATTTTGGAGGCACAACTTTCTTTGAACACCTACTGGGTGTCAGAACTTACAAGGCCTTGCCTGGGGCGCAGCACATTTACTGCTTTGGAAGAAGGGGGCGTAGGTGCCTTGTAATTTCTCACGTTTGGCTTCTAAGGATACCAGTATTGACACAGGGCCTCTCTTAGCCCTGAGGCATCCCCAGGGAAACACCTGAGACCAGCTCTTGCAGCTGAGGGTTAAGATCAGAGCAGCTACACTTGCACCATATCCTGTTTGAGCACTTGCTGACAGCCTTGCCCAGACTTGTGGGGCCCCTGGAGAGGGCTGAGGGCTACCAGTATAGACAAACAGTGGCACCTCTTCTTCCCAAGCCCAGGGGAGCTTGGCTGAGCTGTCGCTGACTTGTATACTCACTCGTGCCCCAGAGTTGATGGCAATGTTACCATCTGCCCCAAACTCTGTTCATTTACAGTCTGAGGGGGCACAGCCAGGGACCCAGGCACCTGGATGCAGTCCTCTTCACATAGTGCCAGACAAATAAGACAAACAGCTGAGGACCCATCACCCAAGCTTCAAAATCACCCAACCGGAGGGCTGGTCTAGAGGCAGCACCCAGAGTGGTATGATTTAAGAGGCACAAGGAGCTCATTGCTGTCAAGACTTCTCCTTGAGGCCTCATGCTATTGCCTGAACATTCAGTTTGACTCTCTGCTTTGGTAAGAATTTGTTTCACTGAAATACCAAGCGCTCCTGGGGATAAAACCCAATGAGAGACTCACCCCACTCTGCACCCACCTGACCTTCCACTCACTTCACAAAATAAAGGCTCTTCCTGATGGATCCTGAGAGAATGGGCTGGAGATCAACACAGAAGGGAGAAGCGGCCCCGAACTTGAAAGGAAGGAAGAAATCAGGCTTCCTATTTGGTTGCCTCTTAATCTATTATGACCCTGACAACCCTAAGGTGAGGTAGGATGCACTGGGGTAAATGAGGAACACCAGGCTGGAGGTGGTGAACAAATTAACCCAGGTCTCCTGGTCGAACGCTGCAGAAGGCCCTAGTTCTTGGAGACAGCCCCCTCCTTTAACATGACAAACCACCCAGTTGGCTGACCAGCCTCACCCAAACCTGGACCTTTTGCTCAGAAGGAGCTTCTTGGGCTTGCTTCCTGAGGCACCCCCGTCCCCCTTGTGGCGACCTATGGGCATGGAGCATGCACACCCTTGAACACTGAGACCATGGGGACGTCATCTACTCTGGGCTTCAGTTTCCACTTCTCTACTGATAACCAAAGTCAATCAACCCCCTCTACAGGAAGGCCCAGGAACAACGGGAATCACTCTGGGCCAAGGCACACACACTTGGGAAGACACCTGGTTTCCAGGGCAGCAGCCAAGGCATCCCATCAACACCCAGGCTGGTCTGGACCCGGCTCTATGGTCCCCACGCAGAGGCAGATGGCTGAATAGTCCTGCCACCCAGAGGTTCGTGGTCCCCTTGGCAACCACACACAACTCTTACAAAAGCACCAGAAAAGCTTCCTAAGGAGGCAAAAAAAAGTTTCAAAGTAACGAAGTAGAAAAGCCTAACTTCCAGGGCCTACTCTTCAGGCTGCCTGTCCGCTCTGCTCTTTCTCACGTGCAGCGGGCCCCAGTCCTCTATGTACAATCAACACCCCAGGCCCTCAATGTTTCCATCGCCTCTACTGAAAGCACCGTGATCCCTGGTCCACTTGCCCGTCCATGGAATCCGCGAAGGCCCCCACCCAAAATAAGGCGCCCCTAAGCCTGAGGGGGTCCTTTATAAGTCAGGAATGTAGAAAAGGCAGCAAAGAGTAACAAACTGAGGAAACAGGAAGTGGAAGCAACTGTGGCACTCAAACACTGTCACCAAGAAGGGCGCTGCTTCCATTTGAATGAAAAGAAAAAGCTCTCTCCAAAGCCATCCCAGGACCAGGAACCAGCGTCAGGCCCGAGGGGCAGGGCCCAACAGGCGGAGAGAAGGTCCTGCCGGTGCCCGGGCTCCTGCCGGGTCAGCCCTCCTCCGAGTGGCCGGGCCGGGGCCGGGGCGGGCTCCCCGGGCAGGCCTGGCCCCGCGCGTGGGTCTGCATGTGGATGGTCAGGTGGTGGTTCCGGTTGAAGGCCCGGCCGCACTGCGGGCACTGGTAGGGCCGCTCCCCGGTGTGGATGCGCTGGTGCCGGAAGAGGTCCGAGGGCCGGCGGAAGGCCTTGCCGCAGTACGGGCAGGCCGGCCAGCCCTGGCTGTTGCCCGTGTGCAGCCGCTGGTGCAGCAGCAGGCTCTTGCGCCGCTGGAAGAAGCGCAGGCACTCGCTGCAGTGGTACACCTTGGCCGCCGGCCGCCGCCCCACGAAGGACCGGCCCGCCAGGGGGGGGGGCCCTCGGGCTCTTCGGGGAGCCAGCGGATGACGGGCCCGGACACCCACCACCTCCCCAAGGCTCCAGCGCGGAGTGGGCCTCCCCCCCCACCCGCTGGGCGAGCTGGCCTGGGCCTGCCGCTGCTGCTCCCTCCCACGTGGGTCCGCTGGTGGATGGTCAGGTTGATCTTCAGGCGGAAGCTCTGCCCGCAGTCGGGGCAGGGGAAGGTCCGCTCTCGCCGGCGAGGGAGGATGCGGGGCACCTCCCCCCCCGCCCCTGCGGGCCGAGGCCGAGGGTCCCCTGCCCGCACCCTGGGCACTCCCTGGGCATGAAGCTGGCGGGGACCCCCAGTCCTGCTCTTGGGCCCCTTGGGGACTGTACTCGGGGTCTGGCCGGGGGGCTTCCCCAGGAAGAGCTGCTCGGGCATCATCTCGTCCTCAGACTGTGCCTCCGTCTTGATGACCACACCTCCAGCACCACCTGCCGAAAGGAATCTCCGTTGATTTCCTGTGGACCACCCCCGACCCCTGCCCTAGTCCGGCCCTACTGGCACAGCTCCAGCCTCACAGGCACCCCCCTCCTGCCTTCACTAAACTCTTTTCTCCTGCAGGGCTCACCACAGGGAGCAGGGGACCTTCTCGCTCAGTCCCACCCACGGGGACTGCCTCCTAATGCCACCCAGTCTGTTGGTCACTTGGCCTATGCCTGCAGGCCAAGCTAGAATGTCAGGAAAGAGACAGAGCTGCAAAACCAGGGAGTCAGGAGGTCAGACCAGTGGGAGACATATAGGTGGGAAAATGAAGAGGAGACAAAGACAGGCAGAGACCCTGAACCCTGAGATTTGCTGGCCATGCAGGACCCCCTGGACTTCTGATGACTTTAGTCTCAATCTCTGAAAGACAATTAGCCTTATGGGCCCTGACTACCTCCTTACGAGGTCAGAGGCCTCAGGGCTGGAGGTGCTGAATGCCTTAGCCACACTGAGAGCTACTCATCTGTGTAACAAACCCACACTGAGCGCCTGTGATCTCGGTGACACACAGGTGACAGGCAGGAGGCACGAGGATCGGGGCTTCCGGGTAGGGCCTCAGTGTGGGTCACACACTTGACTCTAAGACGGGACTTAGGCAAAAGAGCTCCCAGGACACAGCAGTGAAAGGGTGGGTCTGGGGCAGCAGGTCCCACGGGTCCCTGACTTTGGTTAAGGAGGGTCCTGGCTACTGAGCCCTGCCTGGAACACTGTGCGTCCTTCATACCCTCCTATTGCTGTTCACCTCTGGTCTGCTCACCACTCTTGTCTAATCTCCGCCAGCACCTGGTGGCCTCAGCTGCTAGACCACAAGGTCTGCTCAAAGGGTGACCGTGAACCCTGACCTCTGCACATTAAAATGAAAATCTTCAGCCCTCTACAGGCAACTTCCAAGGTCCAGGACCAGAGAAATTTCTATTCTTGCTGAAGCTTGACCTTAAACCACAAGCCAGGAGGCCAGTGCACTCAGGAGCCCTTCCATGGTGGACCTCCAGGGACAGCACCCGATGGCTCCCTGAAGCTCCCCCCTAACCCTCACAATTATCTCAGGACAGAACTTTACTTCTGTTAGAAATAACCCACTGGTATTAATTTAGTCCTACAGCTATAGAACCATAGAATCCATAAGAATCATTTAAACTTTGGGGTAAAATGGTGTTGCATTTAGACACTGACCCCACGCACACCCACCCCAGGCACACCCGCTCCACACACACCCGCCCCCACGCACACCCGCCCAAAAAAAGAAAAAAAGAAAAGAAAATGGTGTTGCATTTAATGGGCTACCATGGTATTCCTGAACTTAGGGGTTAGTGAAGGCCAAAGCCCCAGGTCCCTTCATGTGAGCCCATCTGTAGCTTGGTCCCACCAGGCCACAACCCTGCAGTGGATCCAAATCTCACCTTTGCCTTCCACTGAAGCGGATACCAGGATGGAACCAGGGGAGAGTTGGATCCCTTTCTATGGGGACAGAAAACCTGCCCAAGGCCAGAGTAGGCAATAATCACTTTCTTTTTCTTGTTCGCCACGGTGTCAGCCGGTTTACAAAAAATACACAGACTCTGAGTGGGAACTAAACTTAAATCGCACACAAGCTGGTGAATGGTCAGGCCGGCTGACTGGAGGCTGTTAGCCTGGGCCACTCCTAGGTGGCCGTGAGGCTTTTCTGTCACCAGACCACAAACCTGGCGACACGCAGCTCGTTTCCCAGCAGCACTTTCCGGTCAGGCTGGACCACAGTGAGGGAAGACCAGACCACAGAGGCTCTGGGTCCCCAGAGCCGCAGGGAAGTAAAACCTGGGGGATGAAGAAGGGACCCCTCAGGAGGAAACCTAGCAGGTCTCACCATGCTAACCCCCAGCCCATCCCAAAGGGACTCTGAGCTCCTCTGAGGCTCTGCAGTGGCCACAGGGCTTCCTCCCTTCACTCACCTAGCCCCATGCTGGGCAGGATGTCCCTAGGAGGGGAGACAGGGGACTCCCCATCTGAAGAATCTTCCTCCAGTTTAATTGCGGACAAAATGCTGGTACTGGCTGGGGGCCCTGTGGAGAGAATCCTGTGAGGGTCTTTCCCGACACCGGGCTCCTGCAGGGTGACACAGCCGTTTCCCAGCAGGCCCTGGTTATGCTCCAGCACCTGCCAGGAAGAGGAGCCCCATGCTCCCCTGTGCCAACTGGTCCCTTGGCATCTGTCACTCTGATGGGCCTCTAAAGGACAGAGGGTTTGGGGAGGCCCCTGGGGCACAGTGCCAGGTCTGCAACAGACAGGGACCATGAGAGGGTCCTATCTCTCCTTATACAGTCAGTGGCCAGGAAGGAGGGAAACAGGGAAGGGAGGGGAGGCCATATTCAACCTCAGGGAGGCCATATTCAGTGGGGGAGATGCACAGAAGTAACTGGAGAGAGAACCCCGAGTCTGACAAGCCAGGCCAGCAAGAAGGAGACACAGAGAAGGCCAAGGCAGCAAAGCGCAGTCTGAAGACAGAAAATGGCTCTGAATTATCTGTCAAGCGCTAGGCTAATGCCCTCTGAATTATATTTCATTTCTGGAAAAGGATGGCAGGAGTTTCCTTTAAAAGAAGCAGACCGAGAACATTGGAAAGGTGACTAAAGCCACAGAGCTCCTCACAGGCCTTCAGAAACACGATAGGTACTGACGAGCACACAGGCTGGCCCCATGCTAGGTGTATGACACATACCTCCCCTTAATGAACCCACTGTAAGCAGTCTATTACCTGCCCTCTGTGCCTTTCCCCTCACTCCAGACAGACCAGTGTTCCTGGCCCCCAACACACCTGAGGAACCCACACCTTTGCTCAGACTATTTTCTCCTGCTGAAATGCCGTTCCCAGCAAAATTGACTTCCTCTACGGCCCGCCTCAGTGGCGCCTTTTCTAGGAAGCCTGTCCCACTCAGCCCAGCAGGTCCCGGCCATTCCCCCACCCTCTTCTCAGTACCACTGGCTGGTACTGTTGCTGGGATGCCAGTCACACTGCCACCTGACAGCCCTCACTCACCCGTGCTTGTTCCAGGTGGAGTTACTCTTGCTCCTGAGTCTCTCTGGTGCTCGGGGGCCTGCCTTTCATTTGGACCCTCCTGGTCAGACCTGACTGGGCTGGGAATGTGCTCTGGAACTGGAGAGAGAGTGGGGATACGCTAATCAGTGACACCGAGAACAACACAGAGTTCCCCAGGTAGCCAGAGCCTCTGGGAACTGGCTAGATGCAGCCACTGGGACCTGGGACATCAGGTCAAACATAGGGTTTGATAATTAGGTGACTTCACTGATCATCTAGTGACTACATTCTAGGCCAGCAGTCGCCAACCGGTGGTCCGCAGACCACTGGTGGTCCGTGAGGTCCAAAAGGTTGGCGACCGCTGTTCTAGGCTAAAGCTTCCATATGTGAGAAAAGGAAACAGGGCAGCACGGTATCTTATTGACAGTACCAGGCAGGTCACACAACAGGGCCACAGATCTGGCTTTTTCAGGACTCCTGGCTCAGAACACTACAACCATGGTTCACAATCCCAAGTCCTCTACCAGGCTGGTATATAAGGATCCCCTAGGGAACACCCCCAAGATTCTCATCAGTAGATCTGGGTGGGCCTAGGAAGTTTATATTTTTTAAAAGCTTCCTAAGGCAAAACATATGAACAAATATTTCACAGAATAAGAAGTTAAATGACCTATAAACAAATAAAAGGATATGCAACCACACTCATAATGAGAGGTACCATTAAAACCATACTGTTACCAAAGCCAGACAGACACTTCAAGGAAACTACATACCCATATCTCTTATGAACATTGATGCAAAAATCCTCAACAAAAAAATAGCAAAACAAAATCAGCAGCATATTAAAAGGATTAAACATCATGACCAAATGGAGTTTGTTCCTGGAATGCAAGGATGGTTCAACATATGAAACTAGATCAACGGATTACACCATATTAACAGAATGAAGGGGGAAAAGCCCCAAGATGATCTCAATTGATGTAGAAAAAGCATCTGATAAAATTAAATACCTTTACCTGACAAAAACAGAAGGAAACTACCTCAACATAACAAAAGCCATATATTAAAAACCCACAGCAAACGTCGTATTTAATGGTGAAAAATGAAAGCTTTTCTTCTAAGATTAGGAATAAGGCAAGGATGTCCACTTTCACCACTTCTATTCAACAAAGTGATGAAAGTTCTAGCCAGACCAATTAGGCAAGAAAAAGAAATAAAAGGCATCTAAATTGGAAAGGAAAAAATTATTTGTTCACAGATGATATGAACATATATATAGAAAACTTCAAAAATTCCATACAGAAACTGTTAAAACTAATCAATGAATGCTGCAAGTTAGCAGGATAATAAAACTAGACATAAAAAGATCAGTTGCATTTCTATACACTAATAATGAACAATTTGAAAAGGAAATTACAAAAACAAGTCCATTTATAATCATATAAAAAATATCTTAGGAATAACTTAACAAAGAAAGTGAAAGACTTTTACAATAAAAACTACAAAACATTGCTGAAAGAAACTACATTAGTCCCCCCTATCCATGTGGGATATATCCAAGACCCCCAGTGGATTCCTGAAACCACAGGTAGTACTCAACGCTCTGTTTTTTTCTACATATGCATACCTTTATAAATTAGGCATAGTAAGAGATTAACAACAATAACTATAATAAAATAGAATAATTATAACAATATACTATAATAAAAGTTATGTCAATGGCTTTGGGGCCATTATTAAGTAAAATAAGGGTTATTTAAACACAACACTGTGATACCTTGACGGTCGATCTGATAACCAAGATGGCTACTAAGTGACTTACGGGTGGGAAACATATACAGTGTGGATACGCTGGACAAAGGGATGATTTCCATCCTGGGCAGGATGCAGCAGGACAGCGCGAGATTTCATCACGCTACTCAGAATGGCACGTAATTTAAAACTTATGAATTGTTTACTTCTGAAATTTTCCATTTAATATTTTCGGATCGCGGTTGACTGCAGGTAACTAAAACCATGGAAAACAAAACAGTGGATTAAGGGGGGATTACTGTAAATACATAAATAAGTGGAAACACATCCCATGTTCATGGATTGGAAGACTTATTATTAAGATGTCAATACCACCCTCAGTAATCTACAGATTTAATGTAATTCTTATTAAAATCTCAATGGCATTTTTTTTCAGAAATAGAAAAATCCATCCTAAAATTCATAGGGAATCTCAAGGGACCCCAAATATCCAAAACAATCTTGAAAAAGAAGAACAAAATTGGATAACTTCCTGATTTCAAGACTTACTGCAAAGCTGCAGTCATCAAAATATTGTGGTACTGGCATAAACAGAATAAATAGAATAGAGAACCAAGAAATAAACCCTCACATATCTGGTCAAATGATATTTGAGAAGGGTGCCAAGACCACTTAATGGGGAAAGAACAATCTTTCAACAAATGTGGCTGGGAAAACTAAATATCCACATGCAAAAGAATGAAGTTGGACCCTGATCTAACACCATGTGTAAAAATTAACTGAAATGAATCAAAGCCAAAATGCAAAATCTAAAACATAAAACTCTTAGAAGAAAACACAGGACAAAAGCTTCAGGATACTGGATTTGGCAATGATTTCTTGGATATGACACTAAAGGCATAGGCCACAAAAGAAACACTAGACAGCAACAAGACACTTTCATCATAAAGCCATTATAGCAAGTTTGGGAGTCATAGCAGATTTTTCTAATACACAGAGACAAAATGGGGAGACAAAGAAGAATGCCCCAAATGAAAGAACAAGAGAAATACTCAGAACAATAATTAAATGAAATGGAAGCAACCAAAATATCAGCTACAGAGTTTAAAACAATGGTTATAAGGATGCTCAAGGACCTTAGAGGAAGAATGGATAATCTCAGTGAGAACTTAAAGAAATAGTGACCATTAAAAAGGACATAGAATCCATTAAAAAAAAACAAAACAAAACAGACAAACTAGACTTTGTGAACAATTTTAAATTTGTGCATCAAAAAACACTATCAACATAATTAAGCAATACACAGGATGGAAGAAAATACTTGTAAGTCATCTATCATATAAAGGATTGATATACAGAGTATATAGAGAATTCCTAAAACTCAACAACAAAGAAACAACCTGACTCAAAAATGGTGAAGGACTTGACTAGACATTTCTCCAATATTTCAATAAGTCAATGAGAATGGTCAATAAGGACATGAAAAGTTTCTCAACATCACTATCAGGGAACTGCAAATCAAAACTACAATGAGATACTACTTCACACTCATTATGATGTTTACTATTTAAAAAAACAACAGAAAATAACAGTACAGCCATTGTGGAAAACCGGTGGCTCCTCAAAAAATTAAAAATAGAACTACCACATCATCCAGCAATTCCACTTCTGAGTTTATACTTAAAAGAACTGAAGGCAGAGTACTGAAGACATATTTGTACATCCATGAACATAGCAGCATTATTCACAAGAGCTAAAACATGGAAGTAACCCAAGTGTACATTGATAGATTAAGAGATAAACAAAATGTGGTCTATCCATGCAATAGAATATTATTCTACCTTAAAAAGGAAGAAATTGTCCTAGCCAATTTGGCTCAATGTCGGCCTGAGGACTGAATGGTTCTGGGTTCGATTTCGGTCAAGGGCACGTACCTCGGTTGTAAGCTCAACCCCCAGACCTGACTCCCAGCCCTGGTTGGGGTTAGTGTTAAGAGGCAACCAATTGGTCTCTCTCACCTCAATGTTTCTCTCTCTCTCCATCTCCCCCTCCCTTCCCATATCTCTAAAAATCAATAGAAAAATATCCTCAGGTGAGGATTAACAAAATATAAAAAAAAATATAAAGAAAGACATTCAGCACAGGCTACAACAGGGATGAACCCGGAGGACATTATACTAAATAAAATAAGCCAGTCATAGCCCTAACTGATTTGGCTCAGTGGATAGAGTGTCAGCCTGCAGACTGAAGGGTCCCAGGTTCGATTCCGGTCAAGGGCATGTACCTTGGTTGCAGGCACATCCCCAGTGGGGGGTGTGCAGGAGGCGGCTGATTGATGTTTCTCTCTCATCAATGTTTCTAACTCTCTATCCCTCTCCCTTCCTCTCTGTAAAAAAATCAATAAAATATATTTTTAAAAAAATAAGCCAGTCATAAATAGACAAATACTGTATGAATCTACTTATATGAGGTACTCAAGAGTAATCAAAATCATAGAACTGTTGAGTGCCAGGGGCTGGGAAAGGGGCAGAATGGGGTTATTATTTAATGGTATAGAATATTTTTCAGCTGGTATGCCACAAGAACTTTTAAAACATGCAATACCTGACAATTTGATCAGGGGCACTGAACTCTTTTTCCTTAGATTGTCAAATAAAAAAATGACAACAATTTGCCCTAGCCGGTTTGGCTCAGTGGATAGAGCCTGTGGACTGAAGGGTCCCGTGTTTGATTCCGGTTAAGGGCAGGCTCCTGGCCTTGGTAAGGGGCACGTGGGAGGCAACCAATCAATGTGTCTCTCTCACATTGGTTTCTCTCTGTCTCTCCCTCTCCCTTCCGTTCTTCCTAAAAAATATCCTCAGGTGAGGATTTAAAAAGAAAATAAAAAAATGACAACTACCACCAACACAATAGCTGTCGGTGTGAATGAATCAAAATTATACCTATTTTTTGGTCAGGCCAGCAAAAAATACATTTTTTGGTATGCCACAGAATTTTAGTAATTAGTTTGTGTGCACCATGAGATGAAAAAGGATGAAAATCGCTGGTATAGAGTTTCAGTTTTACAAGATGAAAGAGTTCTGGAGATGGATGGTGGTGATAGTTGCAAACATTATGAATGTATTTAATGTCTCTGAACTACACACATAAAAATGGTTAAGATGGTAAATTTTATGCTATGTGTATTTGACCACAATAAGAAGAAAAGAAAGTATCGATACTCAGTACAACATGTATGAACCTTGAAAACACGCTAAGTGACAGAAGCCAGAGACAGAGGTATTTTGGTTATGTTTTGGGGGGAAAGAGATGGATACAGCAAATGTGGCAAACTTTTGATCACTGGTGAATCTGGGGGATGATCATCTGGAGGGAAAGTACTATTCTCTCTACTTTCACTTATTTTTTTAAATTGTATTTTTAAAAAGCTCCCCAGAAGATTCTGATATGCAGTCAACTTTGGAACCACTGTCCTGTACACACCAGCTGTGGGGATGAAATCAGCCCCGGGCTCCTGCGAGAGGGTCCATTTCCCCAAAGGGAAGCCGGTACAGTCCAGGCCTTACAGCTGCAGGTGATACAGTTGGGAACCAGGAGGTGGTGGCAATAATGCTGCTGCTACTTGTAGTGCTGCTAGTAACAAGTTCCTAGCCTGCCGTCACTTTTAGTCCCCACAACTGCCGTCACTTTTAGTCCCCACAACTGTCAGGTAAGGCGAGTACCGCCGTCCTCTTGCACAGAGGCAAAACCCTTGTACCCACCCGACTGGCCGGCCTGAGACAGAGCGTGCCCCACTCTGGGTTATGGGCCTGTGTTCCCTTCCTGGCCTCACAGCATGCTGGGAAGCCCGGGAGAGCAGGGACATGGTTCAGTTTGCCCTCACCATCTTGCTCCTACTCACCAGCGTCCGGCCTGCCTGGGCAAGCTGCCTCTCTCTCTTCCCCCTCCTCCTGGCCCCACAGGCCTTCAGGACAAGGCTCCTCTCCCCTCTCTATCCGAGTGAGGATGTCTGGTTTGGAGATGGCATAATCTGTGTACAGAATGGAGAGAGAGAGAGAGAGCTGGGTCAGGACACCTGCCACCCGGTTCACTGCACAGATGTAGAGACACCAGAGGAACAGGAGCCAAAGCAAAGACACAGACAGAGGCCCAGATGCTATGACTCGGCCTTACCCAGGGAGACCAGCATCTCGTAGTTGCCCCTCATCACGTGCTTGTACAGATTCTTCTGCCAAGGATCCAGCTTGCCCCACTCCAGCTCGGAAAAATACACGGCCACATCATCAAAGGTCACGGGCACCTAGAACCACAGGTGTCATGAACGCCTACCCACACTTACAGGCACAGCCCCAGGGGCTGCCCCACCCCAGGTGCCCAGCTTACCTTGGGGGCCTCTCCCTTGCTGCCCGGGGGCAGCCGCAGGATCCAGAAGTTCCTGTTCCTCAGCAGGTTCTCCATGTTCTCCAGCCGCTTCTGCAGCAGCCCGTACTCCTGCAGCAGGGTCCCCAGCACGGCCCACTTGCCCTCCAGCTGGTTCCCGAACTCCAAGGTCGTCTTCTCAAAGTCGGCCAGCTTCTTCTCCGCTGTCCCAGTCCGTCCCTCCAGAGTCAGCAAGCGGGCCAGACAGGAGTCCACTTTCTTCTCCAAGGCCTGGATAGCAGCCACCACTGTCCACAGCGTGATCTCCGTGGAGTAGAGGTAGGAGTTCTTCTCAGCAGCTGGCTGGGGTGAGGGAGAAGTTGTCGAAGGCCTTTCGTTCCCTGTTTTTCTGTCCCTCTCTGAAGCCTGTACACAACAAGAGAACGGAGAGACGTTACCAGAACGATACAACCAAAATGTCCACCTCAAAAAGAAACCTCAGAATGGCACCTGCCCCGGTGAAGCCCCATGTGGATCCTGAAGGCAGCCAGGCAGCCGAGTCGGCTGGGGATGTGAGGACATCAGTTACACGTCCAGGACAGGAGACACTGGCTGGATCACGGTATTAGCAAGTGAGAAACAGAAGGAAAAACATGGCCAAAGAAAGAAGTATCTGTGGTCTCAGACAGGTGACCCCTACCTGGGTCTTGGTCTCTTCCTCTGAACATGAAGGGACAGGCCTTGAATGAGGTACAGAGAACATGAGCTCTGCGCTCAGCCAGCCTGGGTGCAACTGGCAACTCCACCTGGCTGACGGAGAGCAAGGTTTCTTACACACCTTTCAACGTCCCTTCCATATCTAGAAAAGGGAGCTAATAATAGGAGCTACATGACATGATTATGAGAATTAATGACGCCATTTGGTAAAAAGCACTCAGTACAATGTCTAGCTGTGCTTCCCAATAAATGTGAGCCCTATGCTGATACAGCTAAGATGACTGTGAGGAGAATGTTGAGGATATGACGGTTCTGGCTCAGGAAGGCAGTAGGAATAGTGCCGACAGCCGTCTGGTTCACCTTTCATTCCAGGGTCCTGGAGTGCCTTGGAAAAGAGCTTCTGAAGTGCCTCAGCTTACGTGGGTGCTGATGACAAGCCTCCCTGAGGCTTGCGCAATGGCCTCGGTCCCAGGTCATCTTGCTAAAAGCCTTGTTGGAATGACAAAACAACACATCGCCCCTCCATCTCACTCCTCCGTCTCAGTCAAATCACAAGTCTTACTCTTTGACTTCTGAAGTCATCTCAAATCCATCCCCTTTTCTCCTCCTCCACTCCCATCACCTAGTGCAAACCCCCTCACCTGTCGCCTGAGCCACTGCAATTCCGCCCAATTCATTTCCCCACTTCCTCCTCCCCCACAGTACTCTCCTCAGCTCCCCAGTATACCTAGAATAAAATATAAACTTTTTTTTTTGTTCTCAGTCACAGGATAAACTTTTAAAAAATATATTTTTAATTGATTTCAGAGAAGGGAGAGACAGATAGAAACATCAACGATGGTAATCATTGACTGGCTGCCTCCTACATGCCCCCTACTGGGGATTGAGCTCTCAACCCAGGCATTGTGCCCTTGATCAGAATGGAACCTAGGACCCTTCAGTCTGCAGGCCAATGCTCTATCCACTGAGCCAAACCGGCTAGGGCAAAACCTAAACTTCGTAGCAGACTGCAGCCTACCTCCCTGACCTGTCTCCTCCTGGGCACTGACTGCTCTCCAGCCGCTCTGGCCTCCTTGGACTCCTCCACCTTTGCATGAGCTCTCCTCCTGGCTTCCTCTCATACAAATCTCCAGCTTAGACATCGCCTCACAGGGACCTTCACAGACCCACACATCTAAAATAGTGCCCTGTTAGTCCCTTCCTTCATAGCACTTGTAGGGAGCAGCTCTAGGGTTAAGCCTCGTACTGACCTGCGGCAGGGCCACAAACAAGTCCCAGCTTGGAGGGCAGAGCCCTCTTAGCATCGTTAAGCTTAACCTTATAGCCCTCCCTAGTTTGTTCCTAAGTAGCTACTGAGCTGTGCGAGGTGCAGCAAGTGCTGCCAAAATAAGTGAAACTCACAAAAACATTGTAAACATGTTGACCACTACCCCCTGTTTTGATCTCACTATAAAATAAAGCCTCTTGCAGGCAGGGGAGATCTGCTGAGCCCCAGCTGTATTCTCTTGTCTGTCTTCTTTAATCCTTCACCGCCCCTCCTCAGGCTCACGGAACCCTTGGCTGTGCTGGCAGGGCACAAGCACTAATAACCTAGGCCAGTGATGGCGAACCTATGACACGTGTGTCAGAGGTGACACGCGAACTCATTTTTTTGGTTGATTTTTCTTTGTTAAATGGCATTTAAATATATAAAATAAATATCAAAAATATACATCTTTGTTTTACTATGGTTGCAAATATCAAAAAATTTCTATATGTGACACGGCACCAGAGTTAAGTTAGGGTTTTTCAAAATGCTGACACGCCAAGCTCAAAAGGTTCGCCATCACTGACCTATGACAACCCTGTGTGTCTGCCTGGGTTATGGTTTCCCCACAGAGACATAAGCTCCATGAGTGTAGGTGCTATTTCACAGTTGTATCTGTGTAATGTTTGTTCCCCCACGTCCCGCGTGGTTCAGGGTTCAGGATCTGGAAGAGGAGCCACACACAAATGAAAGAGAAGAGACAAGAGATAATTTGGAAATAGTGGGGGGCCAGGCGGGCAAATCCAACTCAAGGGGAAGGACTTCCACTGGTGCTCAGGCCTCACCAACCTTTTACTGGTTTGGGATACACCCATAGCCCTTAGGCAGGCAAGTTCCAGTAACAGGCAGACTATCTTATCAATAAGGATTTACATGACTATCTGGTGGGGAAGTTGCTTCAGCTACCATTGTCTGGACTAACAGTGGGTGCACAGCCCTGACCTTTGCCAGGGCTTCAAGGGTCACCAGCCTTCCGGGTTCCTTGTCCACACCTCTCTGCTAGTGAGGACAATAGGTGGCTTCCCACAGTATCCCCAGCTTCTAAGAGTGCCTCACTCACAGCAGTGCCCAATCAATACCTACTGAATGAATGAATGAATGACTAAACAATTCAACAACACATTCATTCAGAAACAATCACAGAACACCTGTCATCATCAATGGGGATGCAGAGAAATTACCTGGCTCTTCCTTCCTTCTCCAGCAGGAAAATTCTGTATAGAAATACAAGAGTGATACCCAAAGGCTAACAAAAGTTGGGGGCAAATCAGTCCTGTTTGGGAGCTTTTCTAGGAATCTCAGGTGATGCAAGTGGGCAGAGGGGAAAGAAGAGGGTGGACAGGATCCGTCAGAAAGAGCGCTGGGCTAGGTGGGAGCTGAAGATGGCACCTGTGCGGTTATAGAAAGGCCATCGGCAGCTCTCCCCAGCAAACCTGCAGACCTGCCACCTCACGTCTCTCCCGGGCACTCAGAGAGACCTCACGGCAGGGGAGGGAGAGAAAGTTCCTCCTTGAGAAGCAGCCAGAAAAATCAAAAAACTTCACTGACATGTATTGATGAGAGGAGGTACCACTGATAGAGCTCTTCACCACTGCTTCTCTACTGTGTCCAAACGACCAAAGGATTGCTTTCTCTGACTTGTACATACAGAACATTATCAGCCAACATTCTAAAATGTGATAAAGCAATCTTAAAAGTAAAAAATCCACCTCCACTCTCTTGTAAACAGCGTTTAGTCCCTCTGCCTTAGGTAAGAGCAGAATACTGGGTCCCTCCAAGGGGATGTAATTCCACCGCCCTGGCCCGGCCTCCACTGCGTGTGACCCTGGGCCGGTCCCTTCCCGGAACCTCAGACGCGGCTGTCAAAACCCAACGCGGCCGGAGACCCTGCTCTCCCGCCGGCCTCCGGGCCGCTGGCCTCCACTGACACAATGGATGGGGAGTCGGCCACTCGGTTCCAATGCAAGGCCTGCCACCGTGGGTGTCGCTGGAAAGCGGGCCGATCCCCCGCCGCCCGGCCGCCCACCACCCGGCCTGGCCTTTGGGCCGCCCGGTCGCTCGGCCCGAAAGCGACGCGGACGCCGACGAGGGCGGCCCGGTCCGTCTGGGCGTCCGCGGGCCCGCGCTTACCCGGTCGGGCGCCGCCTCGGCCATGGCTGCCCGTCCCTCTCTCGCGGCTCCTCTCGGCGGCCTGTCGGGCCCGGCGCGGCGCGCTGGCGGCGGCGGAGGCGGAGCGGAGCCGCCCAGCCTCGGAGCCCCAGCCCGGCGGCCGCGAGCTGCGTCCGAGCCACGTGCCCCGCCGGCCCTTTAAACAAGAGCTGCGCTGGCGGCCCGGCCCGCGGGCACACACAGCGCCCCCTGCAGCCCGAAGGACCGCACGGGCGTGGCCCGCAGCCTGGCGTCCCGGCGGCCGCGGGGGCCACCCAGGGGGGCGGGCCACCCAGCCTCGCCTGGGCCGCGGGAGTGGACACCGCCGGGCCGGCGCCGGGCGGGGTGCGGGCCACGCGCAGACGCAGCTCGCGGGGCCCAGGCCGGCCCCGAACCCGCTGCAGGATGGCGGGGCTTAGGGAGCCCAGTGTCCCACCCAGGAATCGGGCCAGAGAGCGGACAGGGGCAATGCGTGACTTCACAACTTTGGGAGTTCCGCCTCGCCCCAGCCCCCATGGGGAATCTCAGTGTATGTAGAGTCACCGTTTTAACACCTCTAATGGACCCGAAGTGACTATTAGTTTGAATATAGTATTTCATGCCCAGGAAAAATAAAGGTTTTAACTCTTAAAATCGATCAACCTATTTATTGATTGATTGATTTCAGAGAGGAATCCAGAGATAGAAACATCAATGATGACAGAATCCCTGTCGGGCTGCCTCCTGCACGCCCCCTACTGGGGATCGAGCCTGCAACCCAGACCTACTGGTTCATAGGTCCAGGCTCGCTCAACCACTGAACCACGGCCAGCCGGGCTAAACCTCTTTTAGTTTTCCAGACCAAATAGAGACCTCAGGAAAAATTTAATTCATTAAAAAAAGAAAAAAAAAAAGCCTTCCCTCTCTTCCCCAAACAGCTTTGGGAATCCTCAGTCCCCTCTTCCTTTCCTGAGACCTAGCTCCTGAGCAGAGCTGTGGAAGTCCTCTGTGCCACGCTGTACCCCCCGAAGTCCTCTGTGCCACAGTGCGCCCCCGAAGTCCTTTGTGCCGCAGTGCGCCCCTGAAGTCCTCTGTGCTGCAGTGCGCCCCTGAAATCCTCTGTGCCACAGTGTATCCCCAAAGTCTTCTGTGCCACAGTGTATCCCCGAAGTCCTCTGTGCCACAGTGTGTCCCTGAAGTCCTCTGTGCCACAGTGTATCCCCGAAGTCCTCTGTGCCACAGTGTGTCCCTGAAGTCCTCTGTGCCACAGTGCGCCCCCGAAGTCCTCTGTGCCGCAGTGCGCCCCTGAAGTCTTCTGTGCCACAGTGTGTCCCTGAAGTCCTCTGTGCCGCACTGTGGACCAAAAAGGGACCACATACTAAACCTGACAAGCTCAGCAAAGGCCAGCTCCGTGTGCCTTACAAACTGAGACCTAAAGTAACCACACTGGATGGTCTGAAATTAAAACTTTCTAACAAAAGCTAGTCATGGCAAGATTGACCTTTGTCAGGGGAGATACCCTGACAAAGGTTAATCTTTAACCTTAACTGAGCCTGTCTATTGTCTTTTTGCATCTATGAAATGCCAGGGTGCCCTGGCTAGGTGGTTCATTTGGTTGGAGCATCATCCCATGCACCAAAAAAGGTTTCGGGTTCAATTTCCGGTCAGACACATACTTGGGTTGTGGAATTGATCCCCAGTTGGGGCGAGTATGGGAGGCAACTGATCTCTTTCCCTCTCTCCCCTTTCCTCTTTCTCTAAAAATTAAAAAATAAATAAACAAAAACATATCCTTGAGTGAGGAGTAAAAAGAAAAGAAATGCCAGTGTAATTTCTTTTTTTCTAGACCCCTCACTGCACCAGAGACCACAAAACCCTTCTTACGGGAAGCAACCAATCGATATTTCTTTCTCCCTTCCTCCCTCTCTAAAAAATCAATAAGAAACATATCTTCGGGCGAGGATTAAAAAAAAAAAAAAGAGAGAGAGAGAGAAATGTCAGGGTAATTTCCTTTTTTCTGGACCCCTCACTGCACCAGAGCAAAGATCACAAAACCCCTCATGATTTGTTATAGTGTTAACTGCTAACTATCCTATAACCACAAATGTAAAAGAAGTGTCTATTTATTTTACTTTTTATCCGGTCCCAGAGATTTCTCCACTTTGCTTTCTCCCACCTCCCTAATCTATCATGTCCAGTCACATGGATTTCATGTAACCCCTTATGCCTCCTCCTTTGTTTGTAATGTATAAAATAAGGTGCAAATCTGTCATTCTCTGGAGCATTTTCTCAATATGTTAAGATTTTGCTTTCTGGCAATTGTCAGTTTGGCTCAAATACACTCATAAAAATTCTCTACAGGTTTAAACATTTCTTAGGTTGACAACGCCCAGTCTTCCCTTGCATGTCAGCCATCATCTGGAATCTTCACAGCTCTGGCTCCAGGCTGGGCTTGCAGCAAAAGTAAATCCACCACTAATTCAGGCCCTGAGGCATTTTGAATAAACCACTCAATATGGGACCCGTTTCCTCATTTGTAAAGAGCCTTACTATGGAAAGCCAGAGTTAATCACTGAATGTAAAATGAAACATGCTGTATGCAGTATAAATTTTTATTTTCTACCTTTTCTGCATTTCCCATTCATTTTATAATCTTTGTCCAATAAGCCCACAAACTCTTCTGTTTACATTGGGCATCAATTCTTATTTTCTAAGATCACAACTTACCAGTATTTTATAATTCTTAATATATTGGTCTGATGGATCTCTGATGAGCTCCTAGTGTAAATCAAAAACAATTGTATCCTGTAATCTATAATAATGAAAGTATAATATGCTAATTAGACCGGACAGCCGATCAACCTTCCGAACATCCTTCTGACGTCCTCCAGGACAAAGCTGGGGCTGCGAGGGCTGAGGCAAGCTGCCTCGGCTGTGAGGGCCGAGCCCCTTGCACAAATTTCGTGCAATGGGTCTCTAGTAAAGAATAAAAGGTAGTTATTTGAGCAAAAAGGAGCTTCAGCCTAGAGACACAGACTAAAGTAATAACCCAAACTCTTCCACCAAGACAAAGTCCATTTTTGTTTTTAATCCTCACCCGAGGATATGTGTGTTTTTTTATTGATTTGAGAGAAACATTGATGGGTTGCCCCTCATATACACCCTGACAGGGGATCAAACCTGCAACCCAGGTATGTGCCCTGACCGGGAATGAAACCCATAACCTTTTGGTGCATGGGATGATGCTCCAACCAACTGAAGTACCTGACCAGGGTAATGAAGGCTGTTTTTGTTTTGTGTGTGTGTGTGTGTTTTCTTTAAATATATTTTTATTGATTTCAGAGAGGAAGGGAGAGGGAGAAATAGAAACATCAATGATGAGAATGAATCAATTGGCTGCCTTTTGCATGCCCCCTATTGGGGATTGAGCCCGCAACCCGGGCATGTGCCCTTGACTGGAATTGAACCCGGGACCCTTTAGTCCGCAGGCCAATGCTCTATCCACTGAGCAAAACCAGCTAGGGCATGAAGGCTGTTTTCATAGTGAAAGTTCCCACTGAGGTTCTCAATTAGGTGCTTCTTATGTGAGGTATCAAAATTGTGCAGTTCTGATAGGACAGGGCAGGTCTCAGTCCGTTGGTAGAAGATGAAACCAGGGTTTCCCTTCAGAGGTTGACTCAGGTGGTACAAACAAGCAGGGAATAGTGCGGGCACTGAGAGTTCAGTCTGAGGTTCTCCCTGGTACACAGCATTCGGAGGAGCCCGTCAGCAAATGGCAGCTAGGCTCTTACTATTTAAAAAAGTTGGGCCCTCGGTAGCCCATCTCAGCAGATAAATTCCTTCTCGGGGTTCACATCAAATGAATCTTTCTTCTTAGGGTCCACACTAAAGATCCTCTTAATGCCTTCAGCACTCATTTGCAAATTGTCTGTTACACTGCATTACTTCAACAAGGAATTTCACAATGAACAATGCCATATATTGACTTGATCCCTTGTTGCTTCAAAGCAACACTCCGAACCTGGCCCCAAATTCCAGGGCTGCACCTTACTTGGAAAAAGTACCAGTTTTTAAAGTGGCCCCACCCACGTATGTAAAACTTCCGAGGGAAATTAGTAGTAGAGGGAGACCAAAAATGTCACCAACCTCCTTCCTCCTCGAAGCCGACCCTGCTCAGACAATGCTGAGCTCCCTATTCTGTGAACTCCCCTCATGCATCTGCTCATGCAATAAACGTGTGTTGAGCACCTTTGTGCAAAGTCCCTGTACTCAGAGCTGGGGAGTCTGGATACGATTAAGACATGGTCCCTGCCTTCAAAAAGCATCTCGTGCTGTTGACGGTACCTTGTCAATCTTGTCCATCTCTCCTGTCCACTATGCTGGTGGACGCTCTAACCACTGAGCCCACTGGCCAGAGCACTGAGATGCCTTTAATGTGTAATTTTTTATTTCTGTGTTCTGTTTTGTTTTGTGTATATGCATTTTAATTTACATAAATGGTATTGTTATATATCTCAATTTCTTATATTTTTCCACTCAACATTGTATTTTTAAGATCAACCCATATGACTATATGTATACTGAAGTCAATATTTCCAACTGCCACCCAGTACTCCCTGGTGCACCTGCCTCCTCTACCTACTGCCTTCCAACAACTGACATTCAGACTGTCTGCAGCCCTCAGCGTCCACCAACAGGGTCCCACACACACCCTCTTCTCGTCTGCAAATCTAGGTTTAAGTCAGCCCTCTGTCGCTGCTCCAGGTCAGGCACCTCCTCCACCTTGCTCCTAGGAGGGTCTTCTTGACAAATGGAGAAAAACACCCAACATGAGCACATTTTTTTGCCAGTAGCAAGTTTTATTCTAAGCAACTGCCAAGTCATCAAAGGGGACACTCACACAGGACCCAGGAGCCCACTCCCAACAGCAGTGCGGCAGGCATCCACCTCTCCTGGGAGACAAGCACCCACGTGCTTTTTCTCCATCATCTCTGCAACAGTCAACCCCAGAACTAATTGGGAAAGTGTCATCTGAACAACCTCAAGGAACAACTGGTCTAACAGGAACAAACTCAAATACAAGCTGATACAAGCTGAACAACCGTAAGTAACAAAGGAGTCGTCTACCCTGTGAGGCTGCAGAACCCAGCGAGGACGCAGATGGAAGAGGAAGCGAGCTGTGGTGAGAAACCCCAGCGCCGAACTCCTGGGAGGAAGCGGCTCCGTACTCTCAGCTCCTTTCCCAGACTCATTCTCAATGGGGGCTTTGGGGTCCACTCCCACTGCTCTCTCCCCCTTGGTCCTTTTGATTCAGTGAGCCCCATCCGAGAGTGCTAAGTCCCCTCACAATAGGGAGCCCGAGCTATGCACCCTGATCACTGGCCTAAGTGTGGGCAGGCTGAAGGAGGCCCAGAAACAACTCCCTCCCAGATGGCAGCAGTCCCCATGTTAGGAACAACTTCTACAACTTGGGAAGTTAAAAAAACAAGTGTCAGGCCGTATTTTCTTTAAATCAGCTAAAATCTAATTCCAAAACGGTTCTTCAGAGCACGGTGAGCAGTTCATTTAAATTACTTCTACTTGTTATTAACAAGGAGACTACAACAGAAAACAGAGGGTTATGCTTCCCAGAGCTCTTCTGCTCACCTGCTCATTCCTTTGGCCTGACTCCACCCGTGGGAAGACCTGAAACGCTGGGATAGACCCTCAAACCAACCCCAGTGCACAAGTATCAGCATGGATGGGAAAACCCGAGACTCGAAGGTGCCAAAGACACGGCAAACACAGCAGCAGGGTAGACAGCAGGGACAGGCCTGGCCCCGCCCCTCCTCCACACAGTTCTGAGGACTTGGGCTCGGCCTGCTGCTTGGCCAAAGTTAGGCAAATCAAAATGACACCCCCAAGGAAGAAGTCAGTCCCTGACTCTGCACAGTGTCTCTTCGGGGGACCAATGCCAGCCCCCTGAGCCCCCCCGGACAGGCGGGGGGCTGGCACCCTTAGAGCAGGCCGTTGGGCCTGCCTGGCTCCGAGGCCAGCGCGCCACGCTCCCGCTGGTGGATCTTCTGGTGCTGCAGGAGGTGCTGCTTCTGCACGAAGCTCCGCTCACACTCGGGGCAGGTGTAGGGCCGCTCACCCGTGTGGATGCGCTGGTGCCGCACCAGATCTGATGGGTGGCTGAAGCTCTTGCCACAGTAACCACAGATGAGGCAACTCCGGCTTTTCCTCCAGGGGATGTGGCCGGGCAGGGCAACCAGGCTGTTGGGCGAGAACCTCTCCTGGACACGCTGGCCACCACTGGGCCCCTCCTGCAAATGGCAGCGCTGGTGGTTCACCAGGTTCACCTTGCTGCTGAAGCTCCTCATGCACACGTCACACTGATGCTGCTTCCCCTTCTTGGACGGGGGCTTCAGCAGTGGCCTGGACCTAAGACCCTCCTCTGGCTCTGAGGTGGTGGAAGACTCCCACGATGGGTGGGCCCGTAGATAGGCCAGCTGCTGCTCACAGCGGAAGCTGAGCTCGCACTCAGGACAATCGTAGGGGCCGAAATCTTCCCTATTCAGCTTCAGGGCCGGATTACATTCCGGAGCCAGTTGCACCGGCCTATTAGATTTCTGCTTCGGGGGGCAGTCCAGATTTCTGTCACTGCCAGGGTCTCTGCTGCCCTCAGTGGGCTCCTCTAGATTAGCGTCCCCGGCCCCTGGTTCCAAGAGGACAGAACCGCCCTGAGTATTCCAGAGCTCAGTCTGTTCCGGGCCTAGGAAAGCCGGCTCTTCCGCGGGGCCTGAGAGCTCTCCCGGAAGATCCTCAGAGCGTTCCGGCGGGTACTCTACCTCCTGCTTAATCACAACCCCTTCTGCTGCCAAAACAAAGACAACCAACAAAAGAAGATCACATTCTAGCACCTTGGGTTTCTTTGGAGCTAAACATCTGTGAATTCCAGAAGGGCTCAAATCAAAGCATCAAGGGAATTAGAGACTGACTGGGTTCCAAAACCTGGAAAGGGAAACCTATACTCGGGTAGAGACATGTGGGTGGGAAATCTGAATATATTCTTCTTATAGAACAATGTTATAAACGATAGTTTTTCTAGTTTGTCCACAAATTATATTCAATCTCTGAAAAATGGCTAAATATACTGAAAAACTATACTTACTTAGGAGTGTTAAAGTAATAAAAATAAGATTAAAAACACACACAACTAAACCTATAGCTTAAAAGTTCATGTATCCAGCTGTTCTTCCTGCATTCTCCCCAAATTACCTGGCTTATAAATGCTTTTCCTGTCTCTCACCCAGTCAACTTCACTCCTGATGCTGTGAGCAACCCTATCCTCAACGCCCTGTGGGTTTTGACTAAAGTCTATTATGTACTCTCCTCTGTAGGACACGAAGAAGTCCGAATGGTCATGAATCTCAAGGATTCCAAATAGCAGTAAGGAGTTCAGACACACATAATAGGTGAGCTAATGATAATCATAAAAGAATCTAGAATAAGTAAATGCCACATGAGGCTACTGATGATCAATGTTTGGCAGTTTAGCAGTGGGAAAGCTCACTATAGACTACAGGGAGTGGGGAGGGGAATGGAATATTCTGGAGCCACTCACCTGGATGGACACCACCAAGGCCTTCCTCCTCCAAGTCTCCCAGCATCTCTGTACCCAACTCCGCTTCTCCTTCTGGCTGGCCAAGGACCTCTGGGTTGGAAATGGCACAATGTGAGCCCAGGAGAGTAAACTGTCATTGCACACTAGTCACTTGCTGATGAACGAGGTGACCAATGTCAAGGAGTCAATATTAAAACTTCAAAGTACTGTTTCTGTCACTTTCCCCTAGCAGTTTGGGACAATTAGAAAATTATGGCCCATTGGAATGATGTATTCAGCTAACTGCCCCTCGGTGCCCCTTCATCAGTCCCCTGTGGCTCAGCAGGCAGGCACAGGAGCCCATCACTCATTCCACCAATACCACTGGCAGGCACTTATCCCCCACCTGTGACAGGTAAGTCATCGGCCACAAGCAACACATGACCCAGTGAGGTCACAGTAACCTTTTGACCCATTTGCTACTTTCCTGCTCCCTCCACTCTGCTCCAGTCCCAGTGGCCTTCTTGACAACCTTCCATGAACCTTTTAGGTTGTCAAACATTTTGTCTACCAAACAAAATGCATTTATAATGTAATAGCTAACATTTTGCATATCAAGATCTGTATCTATTAAGCAGTACTTCTCATCAACACAAAATAAACACCGAGACCACAACTGGCTGTGATTCCAGCCAAGTGCCCAGGACAATTTTTGGTTAGCCTGTACTGCCTGTCTCATCCCAGGTAACAAAGGATTCCTTATCAAATAGTCTTAAGCACTGGAAATATCATGAGGGCCTGGCCAGCATGGCTCAGTGGTTGAGTGTCGACCTGTGAACCAGGAGGTCACAGTTCGATTCCCAGGGTGCGGGCTAGGTCCCTGGTGGGGGTATGCAGGAGGTGGCCCATCAGTGATTATCTTTCATTGTTGATGTTTCTGTCTCTCCCTCTCCTTTCTTCTCTGAAATCAATAAAAGTATATTAAGAAAAAAAAATAGCATGAGGAACTCTAGCTATGTTATACTATAATGCATATCATGACCTCTTATCTATTAGTAAATGTTATCAAGATTTGACTATGGGACCACAGAGAAGAAAGGCATGACACTATGACCTTTCCTAATGTCTTGGTAAATTGAGGACTCGGAGACTCCCATTTTTCCACTCAGCACAGGCCAGGAATTGTGGGATGTCTGGGCAGAAAGGGCTGCTTACTCAGAGAGACTAGCGTCTCATAGTTGCTCATCATCACGTTTCTGTATAGCTCCTTCTGCCAGTCCTCCAGATTCTCCCACTCCTGCTCCGAGAAGCAGACTCCATCATTCTCGAGTGACCTGGGCATCTGAAATCGCAAATGTTATACAGTGAGTGCTTCCTGTCTCAGCCATTAGGGAAAAGCCACCAATTGAGAATCTCAAATAAAAGGACTACCTTGGGGGCCTCCCCTGTGCTGCCCGGGGGCAGCCGCAGGACCCAGAAGTTCCTGTTCCTCAGCAGGTTCTCCATGTTCTCCATCCGCCTCTGCAGCAGCCCGTACTCCTGCAGCAGGGTCCCCAGCACGGCCCACTTGCCCTCCAGCTGGTTCCCGAACTCCACGGCCGTCTTCTCAAAGTCAGCCAGCTTCTTCTCGGCTGTCTCCATGCGTCTCTCCAGGCTCTGCAGCTGTGCGGCCTGGGCCTCCATCTTCTTCTCCACGGCCTGGAGGGCGGCCATCACTGACTGGAGTGACATCTCTTCGGCCTCTGTCTCTTGTGGGGGCGGCGAGGGAGAAGCCAAGGGTGTGGCGCGGCGCTTCCGCCTGTGCTGAAGAGCCAGACCCGGGCCGGTCAGTCAGCACCCCTTCCCAAGCAGAGTCCAGCAGACTCATAACGAGTACCTGGCTGCTACTTTTTAATTTAAAAAGTATGCTCTTTTGTATTCTGATACAGCAAATTGTACACATATAATAAAAAGTATGGAAAAATAGAGAGAAGGAGGGAAGGAGGATTATGTAAAATATGTTGTTAGAATATTGGTGTGTTTCCTATAAGTTTTTTTTTTTCATCTTTTTTTGGTCAATGAAATTGAAATCATACTGTACATATGTTTTGTTACCTGTGTTTCATACATAGCATATTGTCTAACACTTTTCTGTGTCAGGATTCATTTTTTAAACCAATTTCTCTCTGTTTGATATTTTGGGCTATTTGTGATGTTTTGCTGTGATGATATTATTTACATCTACTCCTGTCTCCACATTCCTGCCAGACTTCATAGCTGATCAGGTCCCCTTTGCTGAAACCTTTCAGCAACCCCTTAAGGTTCCTTTAGCAGGACCTACAAGACTCAACTCATTCATCTGTGCACCCTAGCAGCCAGTATAAGTGAACAAATTCTTCATAATCATTCAGTGAAATGATCGAAGTCCTCTTATACTTCTCATTTTTATGGTCTGTCCTTGACAAGAGGAAAATCACTGTGGCTGAAGCTCAACATGACTAAGACCAATACTTGGGGAGTCCTCTTGAAGCTGTCCTCTTAGCCCCGCTGTCCTACTGCAGGTTCACATTTCAGTCCTAACCCCGCAAGACTCATCTCCTTTTATGTGGCACACTTTGTTCAAGGCTGCTTCTCTCACCACAATGAAGACATTGAGACCAAGACATTGAGAAGAAATATGTTTACAGGCCATTCAATGTCCCCTTTAGTGAACTACCTGCTAAAGTCTTGCCCACTTAATTTTGGGTTATCTGACTTTTCCTTCCCATCCCCTAGGATTTCGCTGTAAATTCTGGACACTAATCTTTATCAGTTATATATGTTGCAAATATCTTCTCTTTATTTGTACTTTTTTTTTAACTCTCTTCAGTATTATTTGATCAAAAGTCTTTAATGGAGCTGAATGTTATCAGTATTAATACTTTTATGGTTTGAACTTTTGTGTCAAAAGTTGTAAAACAGAAATCTAGAACCCACAATACAGTCTTCTAAATACTTTATAGTTTTGATTTTCTCATTTAAGTATTTACCTCAACTAGAACTGATATTTGTATACGGTGCAAGACTCAATTTTCATATGGGAAATCAACAGACCTAATACTACATAATGAAAAATCCATCACTTACCCACTGATCTGAACTGCTATCTCTGTCATAAGTCAAGTTTTCTTACATATGTTTGTTTCTGGCTTCCCTATTCTGTTCTACGGGTCAATTTTCCTATCACTTTATCAATATTGCCATCTTAATGACCATAGCTTTTTGATAATTATTGATATCTGGTAAGGAAAGTCCTACCTCCTTGTTTTACAGGAGTATATTGACTATTTTAGGCCTGTTGATATTCTACAAATTTGAAAAATTTCACAAAAAAATATCTTTAGAGATTTTGTTTGGAGCTGCCTCCAATCTATAGGTAAATTTGAAAAGTGACATCTTTAGGATGAAATGTTTCAATCCATACACATACTATACACTCCTTTTTAAAAGTATTTTTTATGTCTTTCAATATTTGAGCATATTTCCCAGGTACCTGTTCCAATCCTCAAATCCCAAAATTTAGAGGCTTAAGACAACAACATCTATCTTGCTCGTGAATCTGCAATTAAATGAGGGTTTGGCAGGGAGTTTGTGTCACCTGGAGCAAAAACAGGCAAGCAGGCACTGGGACCATCTGAGGAACCCCAAGCCACGCACAGAGGGCGCGCATGGTGACATTCTGCTTAACAGCCCTACCTAAGGGCCCAGCCCCACCCACGGTCAGCACCAGAACACACTTTCATTACTAACAGGGTTTTGTTTTTATTTTTTTTCTTTCTTTTATTATTTTTTCCTTCACCATTTATCCCTCTATGCCCTCTTCCACCTCCACCCCCGCCACCTTGCAATCACCACTCTGTTGTCCGTGTCCATAAGCTCTTTTTTTTTTTCTTTTTGTTCAGTCCCTCCACCACCACCTCTTTAAAAAAAAATACTTTATTGATTTTTAGCGAGAGGAAGGGAGAGGGAGAGAAAAAATCAATATGAGAGCGCAACATCAATCGGCTGCCTCCTGCACAGCCTCCACTGGGGAGCTAGCCCGCAACCCAAGCATGTGCCCTTGACTGGCAATCGAACCTGTATCTTTCTGGTGCATGAGACACCGCTCAACCAACTGAGCCACACCAGCCAGGGCAGTAATAGGGCTTTATGCCTTCTCTCTTTTTTCTTCATCAATCTCTCTATACATCAAAATTATATATATGGGGTAGATATATGGGAAAAATTAATCATATCCTCTCTATATGTCCTGTATACTATAATAGCCACTAGAAACATGTGGCTGTTTAAAGTTAAATTAATTGAAATTAAATTAAAAATGCAAGTTCCTCAGTCATACTAGCTACATTTCAAGTGCTCAATAGCCACATGTACCTTGTAGCTGCTGCACTGAGCAGTGTAGACAGAATATTTCCACTATCTCAGAAAGTTCTTTGGAGATACTACACCCTCACTAATTGTTTCCTGCTTGATAAAATAATAAGGCAATATCAAAATCTTCTACTATGGTAGTGCATTTTCCTTGTTCTATCAACTTTTGTTTTATATATTTTGAGGCTACATAATTAGGTGCATATAACACTAGAAATGTCTTATCAAGCTAGTAAATTGAGACTTTTACCATTATAAAAATAGTACTAGTGCCCTAACCGGTTTGGCTGAGTGGATAGAGCGTCGGCCTGCGGACTCAAGGGTCCCAGGTTCGATTCCGGTCAAGGGCATGTACCTTGGTTGCGGGCACATCCCCAGTGGGGAGTGTGCAGGAGGCAGCTGATCGATGTTTCTCTCTCTCTCTCATCCATGTTTCTAACTCTCTATCCCTCTCCCTTCCTCTCTGTGAAAAACCAATAAAATATATATTTTATAAAAATAGTACTAGTCCTCTATCTCTAGCAATATTAATATAGTTAAGCCAATTTCCTTCCTCCCTCTCTTCCTTTTTTTTGGTTAATTCTCTCCGGAGGATATTTTTTCCATTTGATTTTAGAAAGTGGAAGGGAGGAGAGAGAGGAAGAGAGGAGAGAAACATCAATGTGAGAGAGCCACATCAATTGGTTGCCTCCTGCACTCGCCCCAATTGGGGCAGGGAACCTGCAACCCAGTATGTGCCCTTGACCAGAATAAACCTGCAACCCTTTGGATCGAGGGTCGATGCTCTAACCACTGATCCACACCAACAAGGGCCAATTTACTTTTGATTAGTATTAACCTGGTATATTATTTCCTATCCCTTCATATTCAGTCATTTCCACAGCTTTATCCTGTATTGTATGTTATAAACCATACAGTTGAATTTCCCTCATCCAGCCCATCTTTTTTCTTTTAACTAGATCATTCAGTCCATTTACATTTATTCTAATTATTGATGTATATTTATTTTGTACCTTTTCTGTGTGATTTATCCCATCTTTCATCTTCTTTCTTGCCTTCTTTTAGATGATGTTATTCCCCCTCCTTTTTTTCTTTTAAAATATATTGTAATTGATTTTAGAGAGGAAGGGAGGAGAGATAAAAACATGATGAGAAAGAATCATTGATGGGCTGCCTCCTGCACATCCCCTACTGGAGACCGAGCCCGCAACCTGGGCATGTGCCCTTGACCGGAATCGAACCGGTCTGCAGGTCGATGCTCTCTATCCACTGAGCCAAACCAGCTAGGGCGATTCATGTTTATTTTTGTCAGACAGCTGGAGGTTCTACTTTAAATTAAATTCTCTGCTTGCAGTTTCTTGGACCACCCAGGTCATGTAAATTCAGGCAATGAAACCATTTGAGAGTCATCAATTTTCAAGAGCCATCTTGCACCCATCTCTCGGCACAGAGGTTTGACATATGTAACTTTCTCTGCAATCACCTGGGGGGAAGAGCTTTTAGTTTGTGAATGTTGCCCTTTGCCCTCTGGAGTCTCAGCTTTATGGGATTCAGGCAGGAGGCTTCCTGGGGACTCTCACCTTAGGCTTTGAGTTTCATCTTCTATTTTCCAGGCCCCTTGAGGTCATAAACACCACAGATGAATGTTCAGCAAAAGCCCTCAAAGTTGGTTTCAGAACTCTCCTTACCTCTTAAGAGCTTCCTCTTTCCCTTGGATTTTGGGCTCCAAGTATTCTTTACTAACATACATTTCAAATATATTTGTGTGCCCCCCCCCCACCCCCCAGCATTTTTAGTTATTTTCATCATGGTACCTACTTGGCCACACTGTCAAATGAGAGGTACAGAATCCTCATCTGAAGAGAAAATGCCTGAGAATAGGAATATGCTGAAGGACAATTTAAATACATTCTACAACGACAGGTCCATAAGTGACTTAGAGCGTCGTTTTGAATTTTGGAGGATCTTTAAGGCTTTCCTTTTAACAAGACCTGCTGATGCCACGCAAGTCGCTGTGCACTGACCAGCCAGGAAGAAGCACTCTGGCCGTTAGTACACCTGTCCTCCTGCCCTCTTTACTACTAATTTGGTCTTGAGGAAAAGCCGTCTCTGACTGTATCACCTTAGTTAAAGGAGTCAGATGAGGCAAACGCTGTAAACATTTGTGTCTTGTCTTCATAGTTCAACTTCACCTTCCTTGAGAGCAAACACTGCTCTGCAAGCCTGCCAATCCTTCCCTCTTAGTTCTCACCCGCTTCCTGCAAGAATCAAACAGCCCTGACCACCGCTGCTTCTCTCGCCTCTCTCCCTTCCCCTCTCTGTAAAATTAATAAAAACATATCCTCGGGTGAGGATTAAAAAAATAAAAAAAGAATCAAATACAGTGCATCTTGCTAGCCCTCAATTCTCACGAGATCTCATATGATTCTGAAAGTGTTTCTAGACCACGAAATGCTTGGGGCGCAGATGGGAGGCAGCGATCGATGTTTCTCTTTCTCCCGCCCCCTCTCTCTCCCTTCCTCTCTAAAATCAATAAAAACATATCCTCGGGTGAGGATTAAAAAAAAAAAAAATCAATGAGTAAAAAAAAAAAAAAATCAATGGGCTATAAAAAAAAAAGAGAACCAACCAATGAACGCTTAAATAAGTGGAACAACAAATCGATGTTTCTCTCTTTCCCTCTCTCTCTCTATCTAAAAATCAATAATAAAAAAAAATTAAATTCCAGCCCTGGCCGGCTGTCGTCCGGATATGCCAAGGTTGCCGGTTCGATCGCCCATCAGGGCACACACACAAGAAGCAACCAATGAATGCATAAATAAGCGGAACAACAAATCGATGTTTCTCTTGCTCCTTCTCTCTAAATCAAAAAACAAAATAAAATAAACCAATTAAATCCCATCTGCCCTTTCCCTCGCACATCCTCTCGCATGATCACATCAACCACTACTTTCGAATAACCAGCGAATGTCAGAGCTGGCAGGAACCCTAGACACTATCCGGCAACTAGTCCAACACAATTTAGGAAGAAAACGGAGGCCCGGCCCTGGGGGGGTGGGAGCCGAGTTGCGGCTGGAAGCAGTTTCTTGCCTCCAAGCCCAGGACTCTCCTCTCCCCGAGCCCCGAGTCCGGCGGAGGGCGGGCTCGGGGGGACCCCCCAGCCTCACCCCCCAACCCCGGCAACTAGCGGCGAGCTGACACCTGTCCCCCGGGAGCGGCAGCCCAGCCCGCCTTCAACCTGCGGCTGCAGCCCCGCCGCCGAAGTCCGTAGCGGGACAATGTGGCCGGAGGGACCGGCGCCGCACAATGGCCGGGAGCGAGCCGCGCTGGCCGCCGAGGAGCGAGGAGCGCTCGGGCGCCCGGAGCAGCCGGCGGGCTCCCGGGCGGCGGTGGGGACCCAGAGTTTCCATCGCGACGCCGCTCCGGGCGCCGCGGAGAGCGCGGGTGGGGACGGTCACACGCCCGAGAGCACGGAACTAGCCTCGGAGAAGTTTCCCGGCGAAGGCGCGTCGCTCGGGGGCTCCGGCCCGACGCGGAAGGGACCGGACCGGGGAGGGCAGAGCCGGGGGTCGCGGGGGGCAGGTGGGCGCTCGCCGGCGCAGCGGCAGCCCGGGGGACCCCCCCGCCCCGCCCCGCAGCTCCGTCACCCCGAACGCGCCCCCGGGCCAGGGGGACTCTTACCCGAGCCGACGCCGACTCCGCCATGGCTGCCAGTCGCCCGTCCGCGGCGGGGCCGCGCCTGCTCTCCCTCGGACTGCGCGCGGGTCTGCGGGGCGTCCCAGCCCCTCCTCGAAGCCGCCACCAGCGCCGTGTTGACACAAGGCCAAGACCGGCTCCAGCCGCTCGTGCTCGGCGCGCGGGATTCCCATTGCGCCCCCGCGCGGCCGGAGGGTGAAGAGCAGCTCCGCGCGGAGGACTTGGTCCCTCAGTCAAGTGCAGGTTCCAAAGTTAAGGCAAACCCAGCGGACTTTGTTTTTCTTATTTTACGTGCCCAGAACTCTGCTAGGTGCTTTGCGATATTCCAAAATGTATAAAACTCAGACTTTGCTCTGAGAGAACATGTAATCTAGTTGGGGAAAAGAGCTATGGTCCCAAATGGCAAGCGGTTGTATTCCAAAATTTTGCTTTTTAGCAGCTAGAAGCACACTTCCCATCTCAACAATGTGGGGTCAGGTGCCAAGGCCAACCCACCGTAGCCTATTCATTATAGTAATCACATGCCTTGGAAACCCTAAGATAGCCCTGATATCAAATATGTAATCCAGTGCACATGCTGCCTGTGAAATGATGCGTGTGGAATTTTGCAACCATATTTGCCTAATTTGTGCCACATTGTCTCTGCAGAGACTTGCAATGAACTTCCACTTCCAATGATAGACATGAAATGCTTCCCCTGAGAACTAAACTCTATTTCACATGACCAAGTCCTTCTTGGCACACAGGGCTCGGGTCAGACTTCACCTCTTCAGAGAGACATTCCCTATATCTTCCTCTATCCCAATCCTCAGTCTAGTTATCTTCCTCCAAACATTGTTCATAGCATTTATCACAATCCAAAATCACCTCATTTTTTTTCATTTGTTTATATGGTAATTCACTAAAATGTCTCTCACTCCTCGGTACTTCTATTTGCTCATAGAAGTGCTCATAAATATTTTTGGGTGATTTAATAGCAAATCAGAGAGCAAGGCTAGGAAAAGTCACCTCCAAGAGAAGGCATGATGTCCAGGGCAACCACTTTGACAGATTGATTGAATCATTGATCTATTTAAAGAAGGGGCCATGTGGAGGAAACTAATCAGCCATTGAGATATATCCAGGGTTTGATCTACTCTCTCTGGCCAACAAAAACTTACTGCAGATACAGAAAATAATGTATGAAGATTGTGGAGATAGACATATCAGGACATAGAATACTGAGATCATTAAGCGATCCAGGTATAGAACTCACACTCCATTCCATTTCTATGTCCACCAGGCAACCTTATGCTGATGCACGTCCCTGTGTATTGGGAGACAACAGGCAGGTCAGGCTGATGCAACTATCCAGCCCACCCTTGGAAATTATTAAACTGATACTCTGGCTTATCCATCAGTCAGTCTCTTGAGAGTCAGCATGATTCAGCATCCCTGACTCTGAGCCTGGAACTCTGGAAGAATATTTAGATCAAATTTCCAGTGTGCAAGGGGGGAAGCACCAGGCACTATTTTGCAGTGTCATGGGCTTTTGGAGATGGTAGCGCAGGGAGTTAGAAAGTGGGGCCAAGGAGTGAGACCAGCACCCCCACTTACTTACATGTGGACTTTGGGCAAGTCATTAACTTCTTGGCACCTCCAATTCCTCATTATTAGTGGGAAATAATAGCATGCATCTGAGAGCTGTTGTGCAGACTAAATGAGTTAGTTCAAGTCAGATGCTTACAGTGCAACCTGTCATAGTAAGAGCTCAAGATGCGCTCACGATTGCTATTATGTGTGTCCTGGCTCCTTCACTCACCAAGTGGTGTGGTTCATGCTCACTCTGCCTCAGTGTCTTCTCCCTGAGGATATGAAAACCATATCCAAGGGTTTTTAATGGGGTTAAAATAAATGACATTGTGTAAGTAAAATGCTTATGTAGCTGAAGGCCTGGTATAGAGTAAGCACTCAATAACAGGCAACTTCTCATTTTGGTTTTTGTCTTTGCTTTGTCAAGGTGCTAGAATTCACCAAGATAAATGTCTCCTTGCTGACTCTGAGAAGCCACCCATTTGTCCTTTCCCAATGACACACAGATCTTGACACATGCCTTTGAATAAACTTTTTTTTAGGAGTTCAAGCGGCAGTGGCAAGATTTATTAAAGTGAAAGTACACTCTCAGGAGGAGAGCGAGAGCGGGCAGGCTCAAAGAGCAACTGTCAAATAAACTTTAAAATTAGGTTCACAATTATTCCCATTGGTGGTAATGTTATCAGAGAAATCAATATACTCATATCCTGTCATCTATAGAATGATTGAAACATGCATAGGCCCTGGCCAGGTAGCTCACTGGTTAGAGTGCCCTCCTGATACCCCAAGGTTGTGGGTTTGATCCCTGATGAGGGCACATACAAGAATCAACCAATGAATGGATAAATAAGTGGAACAACAAATCGATGTTTCTCTCTAGAAATCAATAAATACATAAGAAACACACACCCAGAGCTGAATGTGACCTTGAATATCTCACTCACACCCCCATTTTTAGTGACAGAAGTATTCTTTGAATCACAAATAATATAGTTTAAAATGCTTTAAAATATTTACCTTGACCTTTAAATTTTCTATTGCAAGTGTGATTTATAGTATATGTATTAGCATATATATGTCCAAACATTTTTTATCCAAGAAAGTTTACAGGCCACAGCTTTATCCCACTTAGTAGAGACCCTTTCTATTCCGTTCCCCTTACTATCCTAGTCTCTAGGTGGCAGGGACCATATCCTTTGTGTACCTTCTCTCTAAAACAAACAAAAACAGTGCTGGGGAGCATGCTCACTAGGCTGGAGGTCAGTGAGAATCCTAGCAGAACACGCTTGGCTCAAGCTGCACCACCCTGCTGTGTACGTGTGCAGCGGACATCTGATAATTTTGTCAGCTTAGCACTTCTCCATTCCTCTGGGCCTGTCACCTCATTCCCTTTGGGGACTTCTCCAGTTCTGGAAGGACATATAAGAAGCTTAGTAGCCTGGCCAGGTGGCTCAGTTGTTTGGAGCGTCATCCTGTACATCAGAGGGTTGTGGGCTCGATCCCTGGTCAGCGCAGGTACAGGAGGCAACCAGTTGATGTTTCTCATCCTCTCTCTCTCAAAAAAAAAAAAAAAGAAAGAAAGAAAAGAAAAGAAAGAAGAAATGAAAACATCTTTGGGTGAAGATATTTTTAAAAAGCTCTTGCCCAGCCAGTGTGGTTGTGGTTGAGCATTGACCTATGAACCAGGAGGTCACAGTTCCATTCCTGGTCAGGGCACATGTCCAGGTTGTGGGCCCCAACCCTAGTGAGGGGCATGCAGGAGGCAGCCAATCAGTGATTCTCTCTCATCTTTCATGTTTCTAGCTCTCTCTCCCTTCTCTGAAATCAATAAAAATATATTTAAAAAAAAAAAAGCTCTTAGCTGTGGATGCTTTTCAACAGGGGATCAGGCAGGAAAATGATTGATGTTTCTCTCTCCCTTCCACTCTCTAAAAAGCAATAAAAATATATGCTCGAGTGAGGATTGTCTTTTTTTTAACCACTTGAATTTTTACTGCGCACATTAATTTTTAAATTAAAAGTTAATTTTAATTAACACACTATCAGGTGGAGAATAAAAACCCACCCAAAGCAGGCCCTTCAGAAAGTGGACGGCAGGGTCCCCACGCGGGACCCTTGCTGCCTGGGAGAGGTCCATTCTGAGTGGCATCACCTTGGATCAGCGCGGGGGCAGGGCTCACTATAGGACTCTCCTGGGGCCAGCGTTGGAGGCTGGGGTGACTCCTAGCTGAGGGGCTCTTGGTGCCCTGGGATCTACCAGACTAGGATGAAGGAACCAGATACGAACTTTCTGCCCTCTAATTTAGTCATGAAACCTCTTTGGGAATCAGCTCCTTGAGGGCAAAATATACACTTGAGTATATTGATCACTCAATAGTGATCTCTCCCTATCTTTATACTCTTAACAGCCAAAAGAAAGTCTTATTTCCAATTATTTAGATTATGAAAAGCTTGATTTTCTGCATATGCCTTTGAAAAGCAGAACACTGCTCCCTCCCCACAAAAAAACAATGTTTTAGAGGGTCCCTTCTGCTCTAATAAAACTCCACTGAATTTGCTTAATTTCTCAACTAGTTTTAAGATTTGCCTCCTTCAGAAAGAATGAAGGAGAAAAATCCCAGTTAGTTGGGTTGCAGTCGCATGGAGGCTTTCCTGTCCGGAGCCACAATGCAGAACCCTCGGCCCTGTGAACATGCAGTCTGCAATCTGGACACCTTTTATTTAATTTCAAGAATTCCCTTTGCATGGCAAACAGGGGTCTGAGGAAAGCCAAGCGGTGCGGGTGAGGGAGGAAGCAGAGCGCTCACAAATGTGGTGCCAGGTGCAGGCTGCCCACTGTGCTCCCGGATGGGAGAGAAGCGGGGTGGATGGGCGGAGCAGGAAAAGTCATTCTCAACACAAACAAGGGTCCTGGGGCATGCCACCCCACCCCAGTGCCTGGCCATGCAAGACGCAGAAATGGAGACGGTGGCCCCTCAGGACCATGGAGCATTGCACCAACACAAGGGAGTCCTCTGGGCGCCTCCTGAGGCGCCTGCAGGGTCTGGAGCAGAGGAGGTCTGTGTCCACGTCCATGTCCGTGAGCATGGTGAGTTAACAGATAGCACCGGTTGGGAGGCTCAAGGCAGGAGAGAGACTGAGGCTCTCGGCCTCTAGCACCCACTGCCTGGCCCTCCTGGGAAGAGATTCACTTCCTCGATGGCGGCCCCTGCAGCATGAGCCTTGCTCTCACCCTTTGGCTCTGGGGAAACTGGAATAGATCATCAGGGTGAGCTCTGACCCAGGGCACCAGCTGCCTCTGGAGGGCCGGGTCACTACTGTGTAGTAACAAGATGGGTTGCACCAGGTTCAGGGACTAGAGGTGGGAGGGACGGGCTGGGGGATGGGCCCTGGGCCCCAAAAGTGCCCACATAGGAAGAGTCTTTCGGAAGCACAACCTGAGGCATTCTGTCGCCCATCTGTTCCCCATCCCCAGTAACCCCACGAATTGTCCCCGGTGGCTTCTGATTACTTTTGGTGGGTCAGGGGCAAGGGAGAGAGACCAGGAGAGGCAAAGCCAGAGAGGTCTGTCTCTCAAACACGGAGGTAGGCAGTGTGTGTGGTGGGGACACTGCGCTGGGTCAGGAGCCCTGGTCCCAGCTCTGCCGCTCTTCTGTAATCTGGGCTAAACCATCTGGCCTGCACCTCCTTTCCTTGGTTACCGAGTCAGGCAAACCCTACCCCCACCTACCACAGAGGGATAGGCTAAGGGTGAAAATAGATAACGGATAGAAAACACGTTTAAAAAAGTATAAAGCGCTATTCAAACGCGAGGCAGTGTTGTCGTCATGGAGGTGGCATCCCTTAGCACATCCCTCAGCTCAGTCACACCTTTGCTTCCTCTTGCAGCGTCTCAGCCTTTGGACCCGATTTCCTGATCTCGGGCTTCCGAGACTCCCTGGTTGCTTCCCTTGATCACAACCTGTGACCCCAGTGGCCAAATGGGCACCCCAGGTGTCTGCGGGCGGGCGGGAAGCCTCTGGCCTCCTCACTGTCCCTCCCGCACCTTCCCTGCGGGAAGCCGCTCAGCCGGCCCCTTGATCCACCTAGGAGATGAGCTGGGCCGTCCATCCAGGCTGGACAGGTCTAGGGGACCCCTGTCCAACTCTTGGGGACCCTGTTTAGAGTGTAATTCCTGTTCCCGATTTCCAGCGGGTGGCAGGTGGAGGGAGGGAAGGCGCACTGGGAGCCGCAGCAGGATCGAGGGTCGTCAGGCCGCCCCCAGGCCCTCCGCACCCCCGCGCCTGCCGCTGGCCCTCCCTCCCCCAGCCCAGCCCTAGTCTCGGTCAGGCGGCGCCTGCAGGGGCCGCGGGGCGCCCAAGCCGGGGCCCCCGCTGTGCACACGCAGGTGGTCCTTGAGCGACTCCTTGTAGCGGAAGCTCTTGCCGCACTCGCCGCACGTGTAGGGCCGCTCGCCCGTGTGGATGCGCTGGTGCTTGAGCAGGTTCTGCTTGCGGATGAAGCTCTTGCCGCACAGCGCGCACTGGAAGGGCCGCTCGCCCGTGTGCAGCCGCTGGTGGTTCTGCAGGTGCTCCTTGCGGCTGTAGGTCTTCTCGCACTCGGAGCACTTGTAGGGCCGCTCGCCGCGGTGCGTCATCTGGTGCCGGATGAGGCCCGAGTGGCAGTTGAAGCTCTTCTCGCACTCGGCGCACTCGTAGGGCCGCTCCTTGGTGTGGCTGCGGTGGTGGATGATGAGGCTCTTGCGCACCCCGAAGCTCTTGCCGCACTCGGGGCACGAGTAGGGCTTGCTGCGCGCGCCCTGCAGGAGGCCTCGCCGGAGCCCGCCCCCCGGGCAGCAGCTGCCGCAGCCCCCACCGCCCCCGGGTCCCCCGCCTGCGCCCCCGCCGCTGCCAGACTGCGCCCGCCAGCCGGGGCCCGCTCCCCAGCCGGTGCTGGGAAGCTGTCATCCAGCAGCCCGGCCGCGCCCCGGCTCAGGGGGCCGCCGGCATTCTCGGCCACCGGAGGTGGGGGCAGGCTCGGTTGAGCGGGCTGGGGTGGCTGGGCCGGGGCCGGGTTCTTCACCAGTAGCAGGTTGTCACCTGGGGAGGAAGAGACAGAGAAATGACACCCTGACAGTGCTCTGACCAGGACCCCACACTGTGCCTGCGAGGGGCCCAGGTGCTTAACTAATTTGCCTGTGGCTTCACGGGAGTCATAGGCCATCTGGGCCTCGGTTTCTCTAGGAAAATGAGGGGATTGAACAAGGCAAATGGTCACTTTCCATATGGCTCCCGGGCTCCCTGACCCTCTGACCTGCCCCAAGCCACCTGCTGGAGAGCAGGTAGCTTGCAGGTGGGACAGGAAATGCATCCAGAATGCTGGGGGCTGGGTAGGGTGCTATGTGGAAGTCACCTTCTAAGGCAGAATTGCCTGGAAATAAGACAGACCTAACTGTGTTCTGATGTTCAAGGCTAATTTACCTGAGGAGAACCTCTCGACTGGAGGGAATTTGCCAGAACTTATTCAAGTTGAAAAGCTTGTCTAGAGGCCAACAGGAATGGGCTGGGGGGAGCTGGGACCATACCCACCCTGCCAGGTGAGTCATCTTTCTACCAGGCAGGCTGCCTTCTGACTTGTACAGCAGCCTGGTCAGCTGGGTTGGTGTGAGTCCCATCCTGAGGCCTGACCCCACCTGGACCCTGACCACGTGTGCCTGGGGCCCCGTACCCCAGTGTGGAAGTGGCTGCCCAGCCCGCCTCCCCAGGAAGCCTGTTCCTGCTCCTGCAATGATGCCTTTTTCGTTGCACCCCCATGTCTCAAGGACAAGTTCCCAGTTTTCCTGTACCGTGAGGCACAAAGTCCAAACTGAGCATCAGAGCAGTGACCTTTGGCCCAGGATTCCGCCTAAGGAACTACTCCCTCTGCAAACTGGAGTCTTTTCATCTCTCTCCCCTCCATCACCTCCCCAACCCCAGCTGGCAATCCTTTCCCGTGGAGGTGTCCCTCCCCCACTCAGGGGCAGTCCATGGAAGAAGAATAAAGGTGAAGCTTGCACCCTGTCCCCACCTCTTGTGGCATCCCTTTCTCTCCCAGGACCCAACTGCTCCCAGAGCGACTTTTTCAGGCAACATCTGCCACACTCCCCACCCCCATGCTCGTCAGC